GCAAGGAACATTTCAGACTTGATCTGACCATCCAAGTGTTATCGTATCCTATTATTACGTATCGTATCGTATTGTATTATTACGTATCGTATCGTATCGTATTATTACGTATCGTATCGTATTATAACGTATCGTATTATAACGTATCGTATTATTACGTATCGTATCGTATTATTACGTATCGTATTATTACGTATCGTATCGTATTATAACGTATCGTATCGTATTATTACGTATCGTATCGTATTATTACGTATCGTATCGTATTATTACGTATCGTATCGTATTATTACGTATTGTATCGTATTATTACGTATCGTATCGTATTATCGTATCGTATCGTATTATTACGTATCGTATCGTATTATTACGTATCGTATTATAACGTATCGTATCGTATTATTACGTATCGTATCGTATTATTACGTATCGTATCGTATTATTACGTATCGTATCGTATTATTTCGTATCGTATCGTATTATTACGTATCGTATCGTATTATTATGTATCGTATTATTACGTATCGTATCGTATTATTACGTATCGTATTATAACGTATCGTATCGTATTATTACGTATCGTATCGTATTATCACGTATCGTATCGTATTATTACGTATCGTATCATATCTTAAGACGTGATGAATAAAAGGTGTTGGTAACGTCAGGGCACGTTCCCACACCCTAAAGCCTAAAGCCACTCTGAAGTGTGTAAACGCAGACGAGCAGTTATTCTCCAGAGAATCATGAACAGCAGAACATATCGTCTGAATCCTCTGGAACCATCCGGACAGGAAGAGCTTTGATTTAGTAGATCTGCAGCTTTCCCTCAGGTCAGAATACAAACATAAATAAACGAGACCCCCGATGTGCCGACTGTTACGCAATGAGTGCATGTTGAGACTGACCCAGGTTCTCCTTCAGCAGCCAGGTGAGCACCGAGTCTCTGTACGGGATGAAGTCGCTCCTCCTCTTCTTGTTGCTCTGCTACACATTCAGAAACCATATTCATTCAAACGATCAAACATAAAAGAACAAGAAAAAACAAGCTGAATTCTTCATTTGAATGAAATGATGTTCTTACCATCTCAGCGAGAGCAGAGATGACCTTCCCCAGCGTGGTGAGGGACTTATTGATGTTGGCTCCTTCCTGTGGACAAAAGACAGATGTTTTAATTAGAACTGCAGAAAATAAGAATTAAATGGTTAAATAAATAAATAAAGATGCGACCTCTGACCTTTAGCCGGGTGCCCTTCGCCCCCGAAGAGTCGGCGCGTTCACTTCCTGCCAGATCCACCAGGCTGATCTTACTCACCTGAACACACAGACATTTTACATTGAAATAAAATGCAATGTATTATCAGGACAGTAAATGTGTGTCTTTCTGTACCTTCTCGGTGTCGAGGCCGGTCATCTGGTCTCTTCGTCTCTGAGTGAAGACGATGGTGAAGACGGCGTGAGATCGAGACGACGTCTCGTTCATGTTGGTCGCCGCCACCGTCCTGAAGACAGGAAACAGGAAGAAAGACAGACATTAGATCCCCCATGAAGTAACCTATCTACACACAGGTCATTTTCACAGGTTGACTCATCTGGACTACAGCTCCCAGAATGCCTTGTAAACATCCATGACTTAAACACTTTATCCAGGATCAAAGCCACATAGCTGCACCTGCAAGGTGAATACAGCTGGTAACAGAACACGTGTTTGAATGCGTAAAACCCGTCTTCGTAGTCCAGGCCTCAGGTCTCGGATGATAGTTATATTATAGAATATAGTTTATATATTAATATAAAGACGTACCGCGCCTTGTTGCCGGCGTCCATCAGGTCTCGGATGTCGGGGAACCCGGTGACGGCGAGCTTTGAGAGATCCTCGACGTACGGGCCGAGGATCGGATGCTCTCGGACCCGAAGAGTCAGAGAAGACTTCGGATTCAAGAGGTCTCGAACGCGCTCGCAGTAAATCTCCATGTAGGACACCTGGAGGATGAATGGAGATGTCACACGTTAAATGCATTAAATATAAAGAGTTTAGCCTTTTCAACTAAATGTTTCTAAACAATAAAAAATATACGTGTTTTTAAAATAAAGAAAACCATTTCACAAAATCACGAACAATTATTTTGTTTTCTTAAACACTTAAAACAGAAGAAAAGGAAAAAACAAAACGATCAAAATGCATGAAAATAACTCTAAAAGAACATTTTAGACAAAAAATAACCGAGAATTATAGATTTCTAAAAAAAAAGTCAAAAAAAGGTAGAAAAAAAAACCGTTAACAAGAAACACCGTTTGTTTTGATCAAAAATAAGAAAAACATATTTACAAAGAAATGAAGAAAATTTAATTTTTCTAATAAATAAATAAATGTGACGACAACGTTT